TCATACCAAGCATATCCTTAATGTACTCTTGAGTACCTCTTTATTGAAAGTGATGTATTTCAAGTGGGAAAAAATATTCTCTTTCTTAACATGTAATCTTCAAGAACAAATGAAAAATTATACAAATTTGCTTCTACTTAAACTATTTTTTGTATGCAAGTACGCATCTAGAAAGAACAAAGACGCTAAACAATAGTAAACAATACTTACAATATTTAGAAGAAAAAAAAAACTCACATAGTCAACTATAGTGAGAAGAAACATACCAAGGAAAAGGAGTTAGAATACCTTTATAGCATTTTCAATTTAAAAAATGATATCATGTATTTTGAGTGAGCAAAAGTTGGAAGATAACCCACTAGGCTAACCCGTATTTTACCCATGAATACCATATTTCTACGGTTGAATATGGATGGAAGCCTAAATTTTACCCAACTTAAATATCACTCATCCAACCAATTAAAATAGGGGTGGATTGGCCGGGTTGACAAAATATGGGCTCATTTTGCCAGCACTAGTTTTATGGAACTTGCCTATCACTGTGGTAGGCATCTTTATGTCACTGAACACTCCAGTCGCACTTCCATTTCAACCATCGGATTTTGATTTTATGTGTAACATCTTCGTCTATTATTTCATTCTCCTTAAATAGCGAGCCTAGATAACTGAGTTGTTTGCATTTAGGTACCACAATCCTCTGTAATCTCACAGCAACTTTAGTCTTATGCTGGCTAAACTTGCAGTGCATATATTTAAACTTGCTTCTACTTTTAAGTTCTCTACATTGTCTATTGGCATAAAAGACAAAAACTCCAGCAAACATTGGACCTAAGATAACGTACTACAAACATTGGAATGTGCTTCATTTGGCTGTGAAATAGTAGGATAAGTAGCAGCATTTTTTATCTCTTAATTTAGATTGTCAGAGGAGGTATTACTGGCAAATTGATTACTTGGGTGATACATAGATATACTTTTTAGTTGTACTTAATTTCGAGGATAGATTCTTTTCCTAGCTCATTCATTAAGTTTTGTTTGCAGGATGAGAATGCTGCAAGAAGTCCCTATCATGTCTGAAATTGGTTGTTTTTCGATGAGCATTTGGGAAACGTCCATTCTCCATTTTTTATCTGGAGATTTAGTTTATTCACTTGATCCGGCAGGTTTGTGTATGGTAGTGAGTTCTGTACAGTCACCAAATGGTAGTATTCTTTTCCAGGATAAATACAAATGATAAACCTTGTCTTTTTGTTGTCATGTAAAGATAATCATGTAAGTTCCCATATTTTGGCAATGCAATTTTACACCTTTCAAGTAAAAGCGTCTTGAAGATGTCTCAGTATGAGGTTCATCAAGTGAAGATAGGTTTTGAATTCAATTGCACTGGTAACCGACTTCTATTTCTTCCCTTGTATCTTCCTCACATTCGTATTGGACTTGATTTGATGTGGCTCGATATGTTACTGGTCCTCGTTTAGCTTATTATCTATGGAAGCAAAACTGCGCCGTGACTGGAGATGCATTTTTAATGCTTGTGAGGTGATGTCGGGGAAGTCTTGCAGTAACTGGAGGGTACTTAACAAGAGCTGGTGCAATTTGCATCTTTCATCTATTCTTTGGCAGGTATTGTCATTGCAGTTCATGCTTCAGGAGTGTCTTGATACTTGCACTTTGTGCTAGTTGAATACTTTTGCCCTAGCCCTTGTCTTTCACTATATGGAAAAGAATTTAAACTATATATGCTAACTCTTTTTTCTTTTTATACTATTAGTTAATGTTAACTTCTCATCGCATATTATTGAATATTGATTAATACTTATCACAAAAGTTGTAATAACCTTATACGTGACATGATTGTGTGGATATTTTTTTAGAGTAATTAACTAATATAGCAGCCCGGAAAAATGTATCTTTATACATTTTGTGTATAGTGCATGTATATTAGCTAGGGGCTGTACATAATTTTGGTCGAGTACATGTTTTAAAAGCCCTTTTTATGCCGTCAGTAATAAAACTTGCTCTATGGGAATGTGAGCTTTTTGCCTTTTCATCAATTGAAGGTAGCATAAAATCAACTCATTTCAACTATCAACTAGTCTAACTTGTTGCTCCTCATGAATGAAAAAGATTCAAAAAATATTTTGAAGTAAGAATGGTAAATCCTAAGTTAAAAATTATATGCATTTATCAAGTTATAAGTAATCCATTAAACGTGGGATGCTCTGAGATTTCATGAATGCATTAGCAATTTTATATTTCTTTTTTTT